ACTTTTGATCACAACCTTCATCGGCGGGGGCAGACCCCTCTATGACGGATCGCCGTGGGTTACGTGGCCCTGGAAGAAGATCACATGATCGCGTGCTGGGAACCGCGTTATGGGAATCAACCCACTATCTCGAGATCACGACCGAGATGGTTAATGCGGACGCAGATCTCTTCACCTATCATGCTGATCGGCGCAAGCGGCGGATGCGGGTCGGCGAGAGTTGGAGGAAGCTGGTTGGGGATATGGTGGTAATGATGAGGGCCAAGTGGGCTGACATCGACCGTTCCTCCACCTGCCGACGAAGCAAGATCGAGTACGCTGGTATCCTGGATCGGTGTCCCGGGCGGCTAATCTCGCGCAACCGACCGCGAATCTCCCCGAGCCGATCGACTTGATCACGGCCCTGTTTGAGTGCGATCAAGCGGATCCCTGGAGGAATCACTTCCGTGATCCCGGTTCTGCCCACCCGTCGCGAAGTATCCCTCGCCTCGTAAACAAGTTCAATCCTCCGGCGGCCCCATGATCACCGATCTGGCTCCCAAGACTTCCACTCCTCGTCTACTTCCGAGATCTCCGATTTCCTCCAACATCCCATTTCGCCTTGGACGATCTCGTAATTTCCTAATTCAGCCACATCTTCTGCTCGTTTGTTCTGTTCGTTACCATTCTCCAGTGATCTCTCCTCTTGATCGTCCTGTTTTCCGTGATCTCTGGCGACCGCGGTAGATACATATATACAACATGAATTCCCGATCTCGGTCCTCCTCCTGACCGATGTTCCCTCGGGGTCGAGGCGATCGGGTAACCTCCCCCGTACTCCTTACATTCCTTCATGTGATTGCATCACATTGAAGCGATTCCGATTGGCCCACTCTCGCAGGAAGGCGTTCAATATTGCCCCACAGTTAAGATCGGCTCTATCGACCCAAGTTGGCTCATCGTATCCTGCCCAATGCACCAGGAACTCCCGATAGATCCGTCCAAATCGAGTCTTCTTTCCACTCCGCACATCCGAAATTCGCTCGACTTCATACTCATCGCCTCCTAGATCTGGGACCCCGCTGTCCTCTGGAAGCAGGATCTCGTCAAAAACGAGACGATCCGCCTCATCAACCGTGAGCTCCACCCGTGGTCGATCTGGAAAGTCCTTGACCAATTTCAACTTCGACACGTGAACCACTGGGAAGATCTGGTACCCTGTACCTGCGATCTCGAGCTTGACGCTGAATCCATTGATCTTCTCGGCGACCCGGAACGGCCCGTGCCATAGGTGAGCCAATTTTCGCGCGTATCCTTCCTTCACCCGATCTAGATACAACCAGACACGGGATCCACCCTCGATCTGATGTGGTCCGGCGGCCTCGTTGTGTCGGCCAGCTCGATCTGCGATGGCCTCCTTCAATCTGGAATTGACTTGTTCTCGAGATCGTTGATAGTATCGCTGGACTCGATATCTCCATCGGCATCTCGATCTCGTCGTCTCGTACATCCGACCGGCAGTGTAGCCTCAAGTCGATCTCGGATCCCACCCATGTACTAAATAGTGGGGGGTATCTCCTCGGATCCGATCATGAGCCGTATTGATCGCGAAGGTGAGGCGTTCAGCATATTCGTCCCAATCCTTCTGATCCAGATCGCGAACGTACATCTTGAGCACTCTGGTCGCGGTCTGCACCATTCTCTCAGCAGCCCCGTTAGTCTGTGGACGATATGTCATCGTCGCCCGCTGCCGCTGTCCCAAAATCTTGTTAAACGCCCGGAAGAAAT